CACAGAATTTGAAATAAATGATCATGAAGTCTTTGTGCTAATATTGACTAAAAGTAAAAGCAATTGCTATACCCAGTAGGCAGAAGGAAGGTGGGAAACTTCTGCATTTAGAAATATTTCCTTGATAAATATCCCATTATATGAGATGAGATTCTTGTTTAAACACATAAAGGGAAGAAGTGAAAAAGGCCTTCTGCTCAACAGGGGAGCTTTCCTGTGACTCTCTAGCAACTTCCAGACAGGTGCCTGAGGCAAAACCTCCTATAGCATATTGCAAGCCGTTTCATGTATGCAAGCAGTCTCCACAAAATACATGTTATGCTCCACTTTTGTGGGTTTTTTAAGCAGTATGGGTGTCACCAGTCAATCTCTCCCTTCAGCTGTGGCCTTAGAAAAAATTTTGTAAGCCCTAGTTGTTTTTGTTGTTGTTGCTTTAATAATTTTTTTTTAAACGGGGGTAAGTAGGGGAAACTGCAATAGGGAGTGGTGAACTTTAGAGGATGAATTCTTACTTCCTTCTCCCATAGTCACAAGCATCTTCTGCAACTGAAAATGGAGCTAGGAAAATTTAGGAATAAATAGGACATTAATTCTGCCAGTTACTCCTACAGGGCATTTACTGATAGAAAGGTGGATAGATGGGTTATTGATTTCTATCTCACTATCTGAACTGAGATGCATCAAAGTGTAAGCAATGTTATTCTTCTCCACTTCTGCTTCTTGCCGCTGAACACTTCAATTCACATCATTTATCCATGTAAAGTAGAAATTCTGAAGCAAATACTAGACACAATTTTGGATTACCTGGTAATCAAGGAGTACATAGGGAGACTCTGGGATACCCTTAATGGACATACTTATTTAGTAGATGAAACTGTTCACTCCTTTTGACTTTTTAAGTCCTGCAGATTTAACTACACATAACATATACAACTCAACTATATGTAATTAAAATGGCTTGACTCCTATGAAAACTAACTAACTAAATTTATTTTAGATTAATGAAACCATTGAAGTTACTAATACTATTAAAGACACAGAAAAGAAAATGTATAGTATCTTAATTTGGTTTTGCTTAACTTAGTAACAGATACAACGCTTTCAGTAACCTGTTAAAACCAGCCTGATTTGAGGTAGACACCTTCTAGAACCAGGTTACTTGAAAGCAGTGTTTGTTTAAACGAGTTAATGATATGCTTTAAAAAAAAAAAAAAAAAAATCATACTTAGCTTCTGGGTGTGTCTTTTGCCTGAAGCTAATGCATCTTTTAGACAACGTATGTTTGGACTTGTATCTGTAAGCGTGCATTTATCTAATTTAATAATCAGAGAATTCAAAAGACACCACTGGATTCATCCCATAACATCCCAATGAAGAATCTACGGTCCAATTCACAGCTTCCTTTCCTCCACTCTCAATTCACTCAGGCTACCATGCTGGTAGTCTCATGGAGGAAAAAAAATCTCATCAACCAACCAGAGTGTCTGAGGATCTAGTTTTACAAGAATTTTTGTCTGCCACCATTCTTTCCCCTTTTCAGCATCATCCCCTCAGGCTGACCTATATTCCAGCTGCCATGGAAAAGGCCTGTCTTTGCCTAAGCAGCCATCACCACAGCTCCTGTGTGCAGTTACATGGAAAACTGGATGAGGAAACTATTCCAGAGCAGAACTAATGGTGGAGGGGTGGTGGAAAATTGTTTTTGGTTTTGATGGGTTTGTAGTAAGACCATTATCTTAATCCTGTTGACTTTGCAGTTACACTAACTGTGATGCCAAACAAGGGTCGCTAGGAATATCTTGCTGCATGTAGAGATATCAGGGTAGGGAAAAGTGAGCCCTTCCTTTTCATTGGAAGCTCATTTAGAGCAGCTACAGTCCAGCCAAACCCATGAAGAAGACATACAAGAAGTCTCCCATTGGTGTTTTCTTATATATAATTATTGTGTAGTCTTGAACTAAAATTAACAATAAAGAGACCCTGGGTGTAGAGGCTGACAGACCTTGCAACATTCTTATAAGTTGCCGAATTGGTGCCTGGGATTTCCAAAGAGAAGAAATCTCCCCAAAGGGAAGAAATTCTTCCTGTCATGGGCTCTGAAGTACAGCATATAGGCATTTTACAATTTGTAATATAATGTTTTAAAATGCTTTATTGAGTATTCAGAGAAAAGAAACTGCAAAGACAAATGGATTAATTTTCTGAATTGATTTACCTTGCTTAATTTAAAACAGCTTCATATATTACTAGCACTAAATATGCATTAGGTTTTCTAAGGGCACAGTATTCCATGACTACATGAATGGTTTTCAAACTAAAAAGAACAGAAGTTCTTGCCCTTTTTGATATTTTCATCTTCTCTTTTTTTTTTTTTTTTTTTGCTTTCTTTCCTCATATGCTCTCTTGTTCCATACTACACATATACATCAGATACATTATTCATATGCTTTTCTTCTATATTTTCTTACATTTGTGTGTTAAAATGGACAGCTTAATTACTCTGTTGTGACTCACCAGCGAACCACTGCCCTTGCCATCACTCAAGATATGCTCACTTTTCCTAAATAAGTGGTACTTTGTAGGAACTGTAGTACAGAGCTTGGCTACTTTGAATCAGTTTTAACTGTAGTAATGTGTGCAATAATTCTGTAGCGTGATACAAAGATCATCATTTTGAATTTTTGTTTACTTTGCAGAATTATCAACTATAGCATATTTTACCTAAAAAACGAACAAAACATGTTTAGGTGTATCTGACTTGATATAACAGTGTGAAACAATCTCATAGCTAGAAGAAATGCTAACACTTTCAAAAGAAATGAAAGCCTTCCTACTTACTTCAGTAGGAAAAGGTACAGGCTAGTGGTGGATAGTTTTGAAAATCTGAGTCTGGCACTGTCTACTTTTTTCCTACTGGCTGTATAGAACAGCTCCCTGTTCCTTTGGCTTTGTTAATCTAATGCCAACCTAGTGGTTTTAAATGGCAGCAGAAGGGGTGAATATCTATGACAAGACAATGTTGCCAAGACAGTTTTCATTTACAACAAATAAGTAAGAGTAGCTTGTAAATATATACTAATTTTTATCCTGTGTTCCATTTGTTGGCTTGCTTGCTTTTATGTGTAGAACACTGCATTTCTACAGCATTTGTTTGTTTTCCTGTAGTGATTTCCGTAAGGACCACCATACACTGTCCACCTGAAATAGCCGTGTTGACAGCAGCACAAGAATGTTTCCACTTCTGATTTGCCTGCTAGATTTGCAAAGCTGTGATTCCAGGCTAAAAATGTAGTCTTGTATAATTCAACTGGCTTCCTGAAATGCATATGGAAGCAATAAGACAGTTTGAGTCCTACATGTTTTGGTGTTGGAGCTATCAAGCTCGCAAGGCACCTCGTGTTGTCTCCAGATCTGTAGGTGAGATGTGTTACGTACATAAAGGTGTGAAAGAATGTGCAGACATCCACCTCTGGTTGGACTCTCTTCTGCTGCTGAATGGGGCTGCGTAATGCCTCCAGTAACCGAATCCAGGCAGGGTCTGGGCTTACATATGGTACTCGAACAATAGGTATTTACTTAAATTACATAGATTACCTCAGAGATGTGGAATCTGCAAGCCCTGCCTACTTCCCTGAACTTCTGGAGCTGGATCCTGTGGGGAACATAATGGGCTTAATTACTGCGTCTGGACTAGCCGCGCAGGACCCGGAAGGCAGGAGTTAACCTCACCTCACCTTTTACATGCCAGTGACCCCAGCCTTGGCTGGGAACCTGCCGGAGCCTCCGGAGCCGCTCCGGGACCGCTCCGACTCGCGCCATCAGCGCACCGCCGGGGGGAACCCCGCGTCTGAGCAGCGGGGCCCGCGTCCGCTCCCGCCACGCTCTGAGGCGCTCGCTCAGCGGCCTCCGGGTGGGAAGCGGGCACTGGGGCCAGTTGGCAAAGAAGCTATGCCGGCCGTCCCCCCGCGAGCGGGGCGAGGCCGGGGTGGCCCGGGCCGGGGGTTGTAGTCGTCACACGGCAGGGGGAGGGGGCTGCGGGCGGGGCGGGCCGCGCGGCGCTCGGGGCTCCCCGGGCCGGGCGGGGGCGGGCTGAGGCGCTGCAAAGTTTGCGGAGTGGCTGGCGGTGCCGCGTGCCCCCCATCCCCGCTCCTTCCCTTCACTTTTTTTTCCTCCTCCTGCTCCCCTCACCGCCTTCCCTCCTCGGCGGTAGCTCCGGGGCATGAGCGGGAGCCGCCACCCGCGCTGAAGGAGAAAGAGAGAGGCGGGAGGTCTGTCTGTCCACGAGGCAGCGCGAGGGACGCGGGTAGCAGCACCGAACCCGCCATGCCCCGCGCCGCGTCCGCCGCCCTCCCGGCGCTACTCCTGCTGCTGCTGGGGGGCCCCGCCGCCGCCCGCTGCCCCGCGTCCTGCCGCTGCGCCGGGCATCTCGTCGCCTGCAGCCGCCTGGAGCCGAGCCGGCTGCCCGAGCGGCTGCCGCGGGGGGCGGTACAGCTGTGAGTATGGGGTCTCGGTAGCGCGGGCTGTGGGGGTGCCCGGCCGCCATCTTCCGCCCGCTGGGGGCTGCCCGCCTGCGGCCGGGGAGGGCAGGGCTCAGGGGAGGAAAACGGCGGCGTGATGCTGCGGCGGTGCGCGTCGGGGCTGTCGGCAGGAGGGAGAAGGGAGGGGGCTGTCAGCGGGTTGCGGGGCTCCGCGATGGGCTGAGGCGTTGCGTCGCGCTGGGCCCCGGGGGGCGGCGGCGGCGGCTGCTGCTGCTGCTGCTGCTCTGGGAAGGGGGAAAAAAGTTTTCTCCCAGCGAGAACGTGCGGAATCTCTGAGCTGGCGTTCGTTTCTGCGCCGAAAAAAAAAAAAAAAAAAAAAAAACCCAAACCCACGAAACTTCTATCTTATTGGTCTCGGTGTTATTTTTGCAGCTCTCGCTTTTCATTCCCGATAGTTTCAATAACTTTCCTAACGCCGGGAGTTGCCACGTGTGGTTCGGTGACACGGATTTATGGAATTCTCGGTAACGCGTTAGTGAAATGCCATGTGTAGGGAATTTACCTCCTGTGACAAGCTTTTATGGACAAAGCATGAATTATGGGAGCTTTCTGCAGACCTGAAAAGAGCCGGGGCACTTGGCACATTTGTTTTTAATCTCTTGTCATTCAAATATCTTCTGTATTAGTCGCCGTAATTTTCTATTACATTTCCAAAGCAGATCGAGATAAGGACTTTAAAGTAAACAGGAAGACTTTCAATTAGTTGTGGCTAATTCTGCTCAATTGCCTCGTCTGGAGGTCATGCTGCTTTGCTCATGAAATGTGGATGGCTGTATTGACACCATATGGCACTGAGCACACGAAAGGCTGCAGGAGGTGAATATTTCCATGAGCAGATCAGGGAAGTGTGAGGGGAAAGAAACTTTTTTCTTCTTTTGGTTTATATGATCGAAGAATATGAATCAAGTGCCAGATCTGCTTTACATTCAACAGCTTGGCTAGGCTTCCTATTAAATTTCATCTCTCCTGTTCTTTTGAACTGTTTTAGTATGCAAACATAAGGTTTCTGACAAAATGGTATTTTTGATACTCGGCTGGACTTTGCAGCTTGCTTTCTTAGTTTAATGCTGGTAAGATAAAACTCAGATGTGACAGCACGCTGAATAAAAATTAAAAAGGGGGGGGTGGGAGGGGGGAAGAACACAGAACTTCTGTTCTTGGAGCTGCTTTCAAGTTATTTTATGTTAGCAGTGATCCAAATATGTCTGTTGCTCTTACTTTACCGAGGAATAAAACACATTGCAGGGCTTTTTTGCTAGCACAAGGGTGTTTGGGTTTTTTTTGTTTTGTTTTGTTTTTTTCCTAATTAGAATTCCCTTGGTAGTGTAAATTACCCTCATGTAAGTTCACATTCCTTCAAAAGTGTGAGAAAATGAGTTCCACTTGTATAAATAAGCTTTGGTCTGTTGTAAGAAACCCTGCTGTGATTACTCATTGGACAGCTGTGTCACTTGGTCTTAAACTCACAGGAGTATGTCTTTGTAGGTGTCTTCAACCATGTGGTCTGGCTGCTTTTGTGTAAATATTTCTTTTGTTTGTGTCAAATGACTTGGAAGTATCCAACTCTTTCTTCCTTCCCGTCTTAAGAATGTGGCAGAGGAAGAGCTAACATTGTCTTTCACCTCCAGTTGCTTAAGTACTTGGAGCTTTGATTGCACAATGTGTAAGATAACGCTGTTCAATTTTACATATACAAAAAAGGTTTGAATAAGCTGAGTTATTGTTGCAACAAACTCTGCATTTACAAACTGTAAAAGACTGTTTATGAATTTTATTGCTATATGTTTACTGTATTTTCGTGGAAGTCCATAGCATATATAGCCAAAGGCTAGCTGTTTAATTGCAGGGATTCCAACACTCCTTGGAAAACAACTGTGACACAATGTTCTCAGCATAGGCAGGCAAGCTTTCCCAAGCAGAACAGTGCAAGCTTTTCTGTATGAGAATGTCTGGGCCTACGCCGAACCTCACACCTTCCCCTGTCCATCTACACTCCCAGGCAGACAGTGCATCCGGTGAAGTCAGCTTCTGAGTTTGTTCAGCCTTTCCTTCATTTTGTATCCCTGTTGAGATAAAACAGGAGTTTGTGAAGTGCTGTCTGACCATAGAGTGTGCAAGGGAAAAAATCAGAAGGTGGACCTGTATACTGAGTTCTCCTATTTTTTTTAATAGCAAATGTGAGGTTACTGCTATGTGTGGAAATGGCTTCATGAAATAGGGTGTAAACAGGGTATGCTTGCCAGCTTTGCTGTGATTTTAGCCAGAAATATCATCCTCTGTAATGCTGCAGAAGATAACAATTCACTGGAAGCTGATAAATATTTGTAATGACTGTGTACAAATGGTTTTAAAGTTAGATTTCAATTTACTTCTAGTGTGTGTGTGTCTTGAGATGGAGAGAATGTTGCTGCTTTAGAGCTGATGTTTCGTAGCCAGAAGTGGAGGGAGGAAGAGAGTTTGAATGGCGGCCAGCGTCCTCAGTGTTTGTGAATTCTCAGAGGCTTTGTTGAGTTCTCCGTGCCAGGTTCACCTAGGAATGCTAAAACTGTCAGCAGGACAGAAGGGAAAATCTGAAAGATGGCTTTCACTTGTGTTTGTATTACATCTTTAGTATTTACATTTTATAAATCCTCTAGTTCTTTACCAGAATTGCCAGAAAAAAGGGCCGTATGGTTTTCACAGCTGTTTTTCAATATTTTCCAGACTAAAAGTTGAACATAGCAAACTGATTTATGAGTCACTTTGGATCAGTGTCTTAAAACAGCTACAGCCTGGCTTTTTGTTTTTCAGCTCTCTTGATTTCTGCTGAATTAGCAGCTCTATAGGCCCCAGTGGGACTGATTAAGGAGCTGTTGCTGGATTTGCATTTTAAAATTTGACTTGGGGCTCAGGTTTCTGAGTTCTCTAAGGAAGAAGATGATAATTGTAACTAAGTGTTGTAAATTAAGTAGAGTCTAAAAGTTATATTTATAAATGTGTGAAGAAATGCTCGCTCTCTCCCTTTATTCATTAGGCCTCAGTTTTTTTTTTTATCATATCAAGATCAATATTCAGAGTTGCATTTTCATTTTTGAAGGCAGAGGTTGAGTTACGAGAGGTGTTCATACAAAAGGGAGTGTAAAGTATTTAATAAAACAGGTTTTTAAAGGGCCTCAAAAACTATGTCAAGCTTTTGAAAGAGGGGGCAATCTGATAAAAGCTTAATCACTTTCATTACAACCTGAGATGAACAGGTATATACATTTTGTTGTTATGAAGATTTCTTAATAAAAATGGAGTTTCAGAGAGTTTTCACTATTGCATCTGTAATGGATTTTGAAATTCTAGTAGTAAAAGTAATCACAGTGGAGATTTTCTCCTCCCTTGTAATGTGGTTTCAACAGAGAGGCAAAATTCAGAAATGGAAAAATGCATAGTAATAGTTTTTGTATTTTTGGTATTGTCAGTGCTCTTTTCCAAATGAAAATGAATCACTACTGTTCCTTCGAGTCTTTTCTTTGTATCTGTTTTGAGACATGTTGAGAAATGTATTGAATTGATGTGCACTAGTAGCTTTGGAACAGGGATGCTAAAATGTTACATTTAAGGTGTACCTCATATCCAGGGCTTATAAGTCTCAGAAATTTCTATGGGTTTAAGGTTCACTTAAAACACTAGTAAAGAATATATATTGTAACACGTAGTTCGCTTTCAGCTACTATGATTTAACTTACAAATGTAACATGCAAGAATCCTTTTCTGAAGTTTCCTATGTCAGCAGTATTGAAATAATGTCTACTAAAACGTCTCCAATTCATAGTTTGCCCAACAACGTATGAAGCCGTGTGAAAGTGGCTATTCAATATAGTCTGGAGTTTCTGTTTTTCTTATTGTTTTGCTTTGAGTTTGACAACCTGTTGTGAGTAAACCAGGAGTGAGGAATTTATGTGTGTGTTTTTTAAGGTACGTGCTATGTGGAAAATTTCAGAGTATCCTTGATGTTTAAAGACAAACACGACATAATAGTTTGAAACCTAGTGCAAGTTGTTACGCTCACGGTTGCCTTGATAGACTCCAGATGGATGTGAACTTGAGCTATGAGTGAAAGTGTCTGGCTCCAGTGTGGTGATCATGCACAGCAGTGGTTGTAATTGCAGGATTTTTATAGTTTAAGGACTCTGCCAGGTTTTTTTTTCTTTTTTTTTTTTTTAACATGTTATAACTCCAGCAGAACAAATCTACTCATGTCTGTTACTGTCTGGTAGGTCCTTTAGGCAAAGACATTTTAAATAAAGCTTTTGCAGGGTTTTTAGGTGAAGAAATGCAGGGTTTTAGAAGTAACACTGAAATCTCTTTGAAATAATTGCTGATTCCTAAATCTTTTCTAAAGCATGAAGAACAGAACAAATTAGGCACTAGCTGCCATAACTTTGCTAAACTTTGGCTGTTTATTTGCATAGTTCTTATAATCCCTACAGACTAAGGCCAAATACTGGGTTATGTTTAAGAGTAAAAATTGTCTCTACTCTGTCTGCTTTAAGGCAACAAGTTAGATTCCCATCACTAATAAAACCTAGGTCTTTGTTACAGCATATTTTTTCATTTAAGAAGTCAGTATGAGAATCCCTAATCTGTACAGCTGGTGTCTTCAAATGTTAACAACTGGATTTTTCTGAAGTCTATGGCCAGACAAATGTTTGCACTAGACTTTTAAGCAGCGAAAGATGCAATCCTCTAACTCAAGTGTGGTTAACCTCATTTACAGGAGAACTCAAAATCATAGTGATGAAACTAACATTTGTGGCTTCTTGAAAATGTTAGCACTGTATTGGTTTTCCATCTCTTAAGAGGAAAATCTTTAGGAGTTCAGACACCTGGAAGAAGACACAGGTGTACAATATCAGGTGTGCGAAACCTGAGCTGGATCCCAGAAATCATCCCTCTGTGGTCACTTGCATGTGGTGGAGGGTGTGCCTCTTCTCTGGGGCCTCCCTCAGCACTTGCCCCCACCTTCTTTGTGCTGCAAAAATGCCTGCCACACCTGCAGTTCTGTTCTGTGCATGCTCCCATGGTGCACGAGTTTGGAAAACCTAGCAGCAGCACCCCAGAGCCTGGGTCTGATCAATGCTGTTTGTAATGCACGTATGTGGCTGGGATTATTTTTAGTGTGGTTTTTTTTTTTTTTTTTTTTTTAACTGGATAAAAACAACATAACAGAGGTGAGGATTGTCTCTCTTTTTCTAACTTGGGAAGTGAGTGACTTGAGTCCTACTCATGTGAGGGGTTTTGTGGTATCCCCTCTGCAGGGAAGCCAGTCCCACAAGACCTTGTACAGCTGCCCTGGGGTGGGCAGCTATGCCTTCTGTGGAGACTGCCTTCACTGTGTGCTGACTTTGGCCAGCTGGAGTGGAGCTGGGAAGATGCAGATGAGAAGTCTTAGAGAGCAGATGTCAGTCCTGGCAAAAGGTACTGCATAGGTCACCAAAAGTAGGAGTTTAAAACATGGTTTTGCTGTCTTTTGTGCTCCTTGAGAAGCAGAGGTGCATGACTGGATCTCAGGATTATGTCTGTGTCCAAGGACCTACAGTGCTTCTTGCATATAAACTTGTTCTCTAGATCTGGAGTTGCTCAAGGCGTAGTAATAAAGTGGAGCACCTAACATGTACCCTGAAACTGGCTTGCTGTGAGGTGGTTCTAATCCATATGTGGCACACATCATCAGGGGTCATTGCTTTGAGACTGTAGATGGAGAGCAGATAATGTGTGACAGCCACAGAACCCTCTGCGAGGCATCATCTGTGACTGTGCTGACTCATATTCTCCCCCAAAAAGTACGGTCTCCTGGAGTTTCCTCAAGGTTCAGTTGAAAACACACTTCACAATTTAATTGCCTTATGAGTACCTGTCTTGGTGGTGGCCTTGACATTGATTTCCAGTGCTTTCTTGTCACTCTTGGCGTTATTTTTCCAGATTTTACATAGGTTGCTCCAGAAGTAATGCCTCCTATTTATTTCCATGGAAACTACAACAGATACAAAGAGCATGGTAAAACTATTTTGATAAAGCAAGTTCTCAACTGCAAAGCACTGTTTTTCAACATAGTTGTCACCATTAGTTCTGCTTTATTTTTTATTTTTTTGTCAGTGATGAGCAAGAGCCTGTATGCCATGCTTGTAGCATGTCTGCACCAGTAGAGGTGAACTACTGCTGCTTTCATACCACCCACCACCTCACTATGTTCACATCCACTGTTTGGTTTCCATTTGTTCAGTAGGTGCCCATGTGTGTCAGTGGGTACAAGTGTTTCTGCATGGAGAAATTCAGTGACACCTTTGCTTTTTATGTGTTTCCATATCAGGTGCCATTTTGTCAGACTGCCCATCTGCTGCCATCACAGCAACAAAACGTAACTGAATATTGGTGGGAAGGTTCAACCTCTACTGCCACACTGCCAACATCTGCTTCTGATGCCGTGGGCCAGAAATAGGAGGCATTACTTTCTGAGCAGCCCTTATATCATGGTCAGGCATCTTGTTGAGTGTTTCGGATCCAGTGCTCAGTTAGCACTGGAAAAAGTGTTAAGTGTGAGAAATTTCTATGCCCCTTAACCAGATGCTGAAGCTGCTTGCTGCTGAAGTGCACTGATGCAATTCTATGTGGGCCTGAATTGCAAACTCTCACATAAGATTAAGAGCTCCTTAAAAATAGTGGAGCTTGTGTTATAAACTAACTGTTATAATGTACAGCAAGCACTCTGCAGACAGCTGTATCACTGCAGATAAGATAGTGACAAGGAGTAGGACCTTGCAGGTTGTGGTGGGTGGATGACTAAAAAGGAGGGAGGCCTTCAACACAGCTATCTCTGATAATGAGGCCAGCTGGAAATCTTTGGGCTAATCTCCACAGTTTGAGTTTCTGTAATCAGCTTCTCTGTCTTCTGTTGTGCAATTACTCTCCTATTTCCATGATGTTTTCAGTACTTGTGAGACCACAGAAAATGTTTCTTAGGACTGTATTTCATGATGATTTCAAGTGGTCAGGAGGGTGTACAGTGAAGATGCATGGAATCTGTTGGGAAATGAATTTCTTGGCAATGGTCAAGAAAGCATGTTGCGTTCTCAGTACCCTAGCTTGTTTCACAGCAAGCACCTTTGTCTGCAAAGGCACTAGCAAAGTTTCTTGTAAACTGTATCAAAATTATATTTTGGGATCTTTAGTGCAGAGTGGTACAAGCTAAGTGGGGGAGCTGCTTCAGGTGCATTTGAATGTAATATTAATGTCAATAATACATAAACTTTTAAAAATTCAAAGTAGATGCCTTCTTGTGTATATTTTCTTCTGATGCTACTTAAGGTCTATACTAGATTTGATTCTGCTGGCCCTGAATTGTGTGAAAATAGAATTGAGATTGATGTACAGTCCTCATTGTGTAGCTAGGATTTGTGAGCTGCTTTAAAGAAGCAAGCAGGAAGAGTAGAATGATACAGATGCAGTAATTGATTCAAGATTGAGGTGGCAATGAGTCTTGGTTTATGAATTTTCCTAGCAGTCAACCACATGCTTCAGCCAGATTTTTCCCTGGAAAGGTAGGGAGGATGCTGTATGTAAGTCAGCGTGTTGAAATGTTTGTCATCCGTCTTAAACACTTAAAGACATATGCACACACAAAACCCCAAATGAACAATTCCCTTACATTGTTCACAAAATTCTTTGATGCTGTCAAAGAATGTGATTAAGGTATTTGCACTTATTTGAACCCTGTACATTTAAGTGAGTTTGTATTCTAATTTTACTAACGTAAAGCAAATAATTTTGTGTACTTGGAAACAAATTATAACATATTCTTAATTGTAATTGTCTTGATTTACTCAACAGTCTATGGCAAAACTGACAGGTTGTTTATTTTTGTAACGTCATAGGGATCTGAGTCACAACAAATTATCTTCAATCAAGGCCAATTTCTTGGATCACCTTCATAGTCTTCGGGAAGTGTAAGTTCATTTGTCTTAATTAAAAAATTAAAAAAAAAAAAAAAAAAAAGTGGTTTGTATAGGCTAATTGTATCTCAGGGATATCAATACCTAAAGAAAATTTGTTGGCAAAGATGTTTGTTATTCTGAAATCTTACATTATGTGAAACTGGAATTAATTTCAAATTTTGACACTGCTCAGGAATTTAGGAAATCCAATGGGTGTACTTCTGATTTACTTCAACATTAACTTTATTTTTATATAAATAGGAAGTTGAACTACAATGAACTGGAGATCATTCCAAATCTGGGACCAGTCTCTGCAAATATAACTCTTCTGTCTTTGTAAGTAGATCCTATTCTTGTCCCTAGTTAGTGGAACTGACTCTGCAGAGTTAGTGGAAATACATGCATTACAGACTTTAAAGTAAAATAATTGGGAATAGAGTGGTTTGTGGTTAGGAAGTTGATTATGTCATGTTATTTAGCAGGTTGTTTAAAATGTGTATAATTGAGCTTAATCCTTGTAGTTTTTATGCTTCCCTCAGATACAAAGACTGTATTAGAATTAATTTATGTTGTGGTAGTGCTGAGAAGCCTCAGCTCTGTTGTCCTAGGCACTGAATGAACATTAGTGAATGCTCTAAAGTCTGTGTTGTACAAGTTTGTATAACAGCAGTTATACTCTACTGTTATGCATTTTGGCTGAAATCCCAATTGCATTAAATCATGGCAGAATCATTCCATTAATTTCAGTGGGCAGTGTGGGGAAATCCCCTTGACATGCAGCTTCGGGACAATTATCTATGTTAAAAGATGTTGTGCCAGTCTCTTTAAAATGTATTTTTGAGGCCACTTTTGTGTGTAGCATAAAACTCTGTGGTTGTAGTTGTGACACACAGTTATGTCCATGTTCGTTATTTTGTCTGAAATAAATTACTGGGTTACTTCATGTGGCATCTGTAAGATGGGTGTAAAATTGTAAAAGGCATATAGGACCCCAAACTAAAACACTTGATTTTAGAGGAAATCTGAAATCTGTTTAATTTGTTCTCCTCCTTCTCCACCACGTGGTATGATTTCTCTAAGATGCTGAAAAAAATCCTGCTATCCTACTCCTAAGGGGAGGTGGAAAAAGGACATGTTTTGATATGTGGGACTTGGGCTTTATCAGTGGGAATCTAAAGTGTTTAAACCTAGTAATATGTAGCCCTCTGGCCAAATCCTACCCTTGAATACAAATTGCAAGTTACCTTTCATGAAGAAGCCTGAAGGGTTAAAACAATACCGTAAACTTCAGAAAGCTGTTCAGTTAATTAAATTGATCACTGTTCAATTGCTTACAGCTGGTGATTTATAGGGGTTTGTTTTTACTTTAGACCCAGGTCAGCTAAGTCAGCTGGTGCAGCCGCTGTGTCTGGACTGCTCTGTTTGAATAAGAACTAAGTGACATTTGATACTGATGTGGTTTCTCACAAATCAGGATCAGAAAAGAATGAAAGAAGGAGCAGATGCTGTCTGACTAATAACTATTTACTTTAAGCATGTCATCTATTACTATTTTGCATTACAGTTGACATTATTTTTACACAGGCATAGCATTCTGTATTTTAAGCATCTCATTAATTTAAATAATGTATTTCTTCCAAAAAAAAAAAAAAAAATTAATAAGGTTCCCTTTATCACAAAGTTGGAAGTATTAAAGAATGTGATATCCTCCTGCCTTATCTGTGATGAATATGAAATCAAGAATTTGTCCTTACATCTGTAGTCCTTCTCATGGAAACACAAATAGTTCAGATGAATGTAAAAACGTCTTTCTTCAACTGTGCAAAGATTTTTGTTCTCCTTTGAAAGAACCAAAATTGATCAATACTGAATTGTTTGTTCAGTATCCTTAAGTCACTAGCTTGGTTCATTTGTCAGTGGTCAAACGTAGGAAAACTTTTGGTAGATCTGTTTTCAATACTTCTATTTTATACTCATGAATACAAGATACAAAAAAAAAAAAGCTTTTCTAAATGTTATACTACTAATGCATTTAAAGTTGGTCTGGCTGAGTGTTAGCTTGTTCTCTTTCTAATTTCAATTACTTCTATATGATGTTGTGAGATTACTGAAAGTAGGTATGCTCCAGTTGAGGTTTAATATAGATTGTGTGACCACTGTAAGGATTCATTGAGATTAATGTGGTAGAACTAATTCCTCAAGTAATTTATGCTAACTTCCAATGATCAGAGTGTAGTAGTTAATAAATAATTTGTCTTGTTGGAATGTATGTAGAGAGAACAAATAATTAGAGTGGTATTGCATTGTTCCAAAAATAAAGCATCTTGTTCTGCTTGCAAAGGTTTCTCTTTCAAACACCTTACAGCTTAGAAATCATTTATGTAGAAAGATGTTAAGTCTAATTTTTACAACAGGAGAAATAAAGCAGAATAAGCATGCAGCAATTGTCTGACATAAAAAAAAAAAAAACCAAAAACAAACAAAAAAAAACTAATATGAAATGCACATATTTTAATCTGATAGTTTTTTAGAAGTGAAAAAATATCTTCACTTATTGGAGAGGTTGAATCAAACTGGGTTAATATATATCTAAGTCATGCGGAGAAGACACGTATGGAACGATTATAATTTTTCAAACCACTTTTGAAAGAATAATTGTTCTTTGTATATACTTCTGATGACTTTATGCAGTCTTCAACTTTCAGAATGAAAAGAGCTTGTGGAACCTTTCCAAAACAAACTACTGTTTCATTGTTGAGTCTTTGTTCTGACATAGAAATAATAGCAGAAAAGAGATTGCTAGTCTTTGGGAACTTTATTTGATTGCATTCCTTACACATCTGTTAATTGTATCAGTTGAAAAGCCAGTTATTTCTTCCAAGGAGTCCTCAAGGAATGCTGTGGAATGGCCTCCCTTCTGGGCAAAATCTGTATTGGTTAAAAATTTTTTTTCCATGGTGGAAAAATTCTTCCAAGTAATCATCAGCTGATCAGTGAAGACTTAGAATTTTACTTCTTTTGTGGGAATTTTCTTTCCTTGCAAAGAAATTTACAACGATTACGTGTCTACAGTGAATAAATGACGCTGCAGGTATCCCCATACAGCACTGTATTTGTAAATCATTTGAGTGGTATAAACAAGCATGGGTGGATTGTCATGTTAGTGTAGTTTCTATTTCTGGATCTACCTCATTTATAGCTATCTAATGGATATTTATCTAGCTTACGTATTTTCATACTGCTGAATTACACATGATAAAACATACCTGGAGCAATAGATGTTCCTGGTCCTGTGGACAAAGTCCATCAGTAACGTTAATCAGTGGTGTCAACAACTTGTTTTTCCTGGATACCAGTAGAGAGTTGAACACCAGGAGAAGCAAGGGTATCAGACCGGCACTTCCAGCTCCCTCCCCCATCACCCAGCACCCTCGAAAGATATATGTCTGTGGGAAGGAATACAGACTCAAATGCAGATACGCTCATTACGTGGCTGGAGATGCATCTAACACTTCATTTATGTGATGAATATGTATTTTGTCTTACGTCTAGCAAATGTACTTGCACATGCCCATTTTACAGTGATGTTACTTGCAAAGGTCTGATAACATCTTTCAGCATGTTTGATCATTTAAGTCAATTATTTGAAATGGACTGTTCAGCTCTCCATTCTCCTTAGACACCCAGCTGTTTTCACTGGCTTCTGGGAGAGAAGACAGAAAGTAGTTCATCAAGGTGTAAAGAAAATGTTCAGCCATTTGCCAGAGATTTCCAGCTCCCCAGTTGGAACAATAGCTGTAGTCAGGTGACCAGGTTACCAGTGTGCTGGAGAAAACAAGATTTTGGTAGAACGCTGTATTTGATAACTGGTAACTTAAAACTGCGTAGTGCGTGGATGCCATCCACAGTGATGTAGACCTTCTTGTGTTCTTCCAGGAACTGAAATGTTCCAAATCTCTTAATTGGCAATGCTGAAGTGCTTTTAAAAAAACAGTTAAATTGATGTAGAAATTGCTTTAAATGGTTGTACTAGTTTTGTATTATAAAATTCTGCACTTATGGGACAAAAAATTAGTGATTTTTCATTATTTCTGGATTGATGGATCACTGTGTCGAGAGATGGACGCTAATGAACATTTCTTCCAGGAGAAGCAGAAAATTTCTGAAGTTGTTTCCCATTTCAATGATGCTCTTTGTCTGAAATGTACCAGTCCTGTCCTATTTATCCTGAGAACCAGGATCTGTGATACTGATACATGAGAATAAAGACCTTGTGGCTTAGGTGTATCATTGTTGTGAAGTTTGGTACCTAGTTTGAATCCGGGTTCCTTAAACTCACACTCTAAAAGAGTGGAAGTGATTTTTGAATTAAGGTGATTAAGGTGTCCATTGTATGTGCTTGTTTAAGGGTAGTATATAAGTATATATCAAGTACATATCAACATGATGCTTTGGTGGTTGTAAGCTATTAACGTTCAAAAACTGTACCGGAACTTCTCCACAGTGTGTCAACAATTCACTGGAAAAAGAACAAACAAACATATAAAAGCAATCAACAAACCAAACAAAATAAAATACAAGATCTGAGTTTATTGCAGTAGGCATAATATCTTCTCCCACTACTCTAGAGATCTTGGCTCCACTTTTGGGAAGATGTACATAACTGATATGACTTAACTGTTTTTTGCAATTATGACTTTTATCTTTTAAGTCATAAGTAGTACAGATCAGGCTCAAGTCATGATTTCCTACAAGGCTGAAAGTTCATCCAGTGTTGTCATTTTTGTGTGTGCATGTGACACATGATACCAAAGTGTGGATCTAAGATATGTTGTCAGGGTGCCTTAAATGCTCAAGAAATTATTTGGGTTAATAAAAAAACTCTGAATGTAATCTTCTTTAATTACAAATAATTGGAAATCTCTCAGTACAGTCAGTGACAAAGGACATTTAAAGATACTTTGGGCTGTGATTTACCATCGTAGGGGAAAGCCATGCTACTGAAGATGAAGAAATAGATTGAAACTGAGTAATATAAGTGCATCACTCTTTTATATGGCTTTCATAAGTTCTATATGGCTTTTAACTATCATTTGCCTACACATTCTACTTTAAAAGTCTTCAAAAAATAATAACTAGTTCATGTAATTAATGCTTTGTATGGAATAAAGGCACTTAATGCTGCAGAATTTGTAAATCACTGCTTAAGATTTTGTTTAAGGATATGTGGTATGGGTAATAAACCCATGATTTTTCATGTGTTGAATTAAAAAAAATACACACACACACACTCTAAAAAAATCATGGACGCCGTCCAAAACTGCCAGTGTGTTGTA